GAGGAATCCAGAAATTCTTTAGATCAAAGCTGTAGGCTGGTAATTCTAGCAGACTTCCGATCTGTTTCATCGAACCATGGTATCGGCTCCAGTCAATGTCAACCCCAGAATTGTAAAGCCTCGTCATGCTGGAGATAATAGCGTCAAGGCACGCCTGACTTCCGGTTCTTGTAGCTTCGAGAACCTCGGCCATGCTTTCTTTCCCGGTGGTAATGTTTGACGCAGTCATGTCTCTGCACATCGATGTTGGTGAAATCGTCAGGAATATGGTATTTCGACCAGGGCTGAGTGTCATCGCAGATTCAATGGCGTCGGAAAATAGTACAGATTGGCGGGCGTGTTTGGCTACATGCTCGGGCCCGGACGGGAAAGCATCGATCAGCGAACCCGTCACCGTCGACACAAAGTTGATCTGTGGTTGACTGGCAAAGGAAGCTTGTTCACCAACAGCGAGCAGATTCTTCAGAATCCCGTCCATCTGACCCGTATGGAATGCGTATGGTGTCTTGACCAAGGCACTTTTAATGCCATGTACCTTGAGACGGCTTTGCAACTGCAAGATACTGTCGAATGGCCCACCAACTACAGTCTGACTTCTTGAGTTTCTGCATGAAACCTCGACTGCGTACTCTGCCAGGAACGGAGTGAGCCGTTCCTCTTCGGCCAATACAGCCAGCATCCTGTGGGTATCAGGCTGGCAAGACTTTTGCACCAAGCCTGCGCGTTTGCCCACAAGCCAAATAGCATCTGCAGCAGAGAGAACGCCGCATAAGTGCAGAGCCGCATACTCTCCCAGACTATGTCCGAGTACAGTCGCGGGCGCAACGCCCCAGCTCTTCCACATCTTGCTGACAGCAAGCTCAAACACGATAAGTGCGACCTGTTCTAGCACGGTACTCGGAGAAGCTTGTGCTATATCGGGAGTGATAAGGTATTGCAAGACTCCGGAAAATCCCAGGGACTCACTGAGTTTGTTGTAGTTGTCTAAAGCATCCCGAAAGGCGCTGTTGCTGTCATATAACGGCCGGGCCGAACCGGCGATTTTCCCGCCCTGCCCGGAGAACACGAAGACAATATGCGGCGCTTGTGGCGCATTTCGAAATTGAGGCGATGCTTCATTTGTGCCATCATGCAGAAGCTTGATAATCTCCGTCGTGTTTCTAGCCCTGTATGCAGAGCGGTATGGAAAGTGACTTCTTCGTTCACATGTGGTGTAAGACAAGTCGTCAATCGCTGCAGAAGGCTCCTTCCTGACGAATTCAAGAAGTCTCATCTTGTTGGCTTGAAGTGCAGAACGGCTTTTGCCAGAAACCACAACGATGCGTTGCTGTGGCTTTGTTATGTGAACCTCTTCGCGGTTGGGTTGTTTTCTGGTGGTTTTTGAGTGCCTCTTTGAGCCTTCCACAAGTATACTGGTGTTCCCGCCAGCTGCTCCAAAGCAATTTAGTACGATGGCTGAATGGCATCGACATTGTTTAGAAGACTTTTCGAGTGGCTTTAAGGGCTTAGCTATCGAGTTGATGACAATCTCCAGCTCTTCCAGCGGAGGGAAATTGTGGTTTAGCTCTGTCCTGAGCCCGATATGTGGAGGAACTCGGTCATGACGAATCATGAGAAGCGCCTTCACCAAAGCTGATATACCGGCTGCACCCTCGCTGTGTCCAATATTGGCCTTGATGCTGCCGATACGTAGCTCACTGGATGGTTTGCCTGGTGAGCCCCTAGGGCGACGACGCGGCCCTCCAAGAACGGCGGCTACAGCTTCAATTTCTGCAAGATCACCTGCCTGGGTCCCGGATCCATGAAGCTCGACATAAGCCACATCTTCAGGTTGCCTCAACGATTCGCTTAGAACACGACGCAATAATGACTTCTGAGCTTCTGCGGACGGGCGAGTGATCGGATTCGTGTCCGTTGAGTGATTCGTGACGATGCCCCTGATGACGCCATGAACTATGTCCCCATCGCTTCGCGCATCGCTGAGACGCTTAAGGACGACAACAGCCACTGCCTCAGCCCGCGTATAGCCGTCCGCTGTAGCGTCGAAGGTTTTGCAGGCTGTGCCGGAGGCTCCCAGAAACCCGCCGCAACGGAGACCCGCGTACATGCCGGCATCATCATGACCTGAGATGATGCTGGCCCCGCCAGCGATGGCCATATTGCACTTGCGTCCCCGAAGAGACTGCACGGCCAAATCTAGAGCCATGGCGCTGGAGGAGCAAGCCGTGTCCACTGAGACTGACGGGCCATCCCATCCAAAGAAGTGATTCAGACGGCCGGGGCCGAAGGCGCGCAGACCTCCTGTCACGTAGTATGGATCGTCCTGCGCCATGTTATGTTCGCGCCAGTCATCCGTAGCCTGTCCAACAAATGTTCCCACGTGCTGTGTATGGGTATCCTTGTTATAGCCTGACATGTCCAAGGCCTCTTGCGTCGTGAGTAGCAAAAGTCTCTGTGATGGGTCTGTCTGCAAAGCTGCTCTGCCCGACATGTTGAAGAACTTTCTGTCAAAGTGGCCGGCTTGTTCGATGAAGCACCCAGTGGGCAAGATATCGCCATGGCTATCGGAGACCCTTTCACGTGGCATCTGGATAATCAATCAGCAAACAGCCCGTACAAGTGTTAACCATGACCCCACTCACTCGGCTCGAGGTATCACGGCCATCACAAAGTACATCCCACAGCTCTTCCGCACTTTCAGCCCCTGGAAAGCGGCCAGAGTAGCCGATGATTGCTATGAGATTTTCGTTTCCCTCTTCATCGCTCTCCTCATCGTCGCTATGACTGTCACCGTGATTGTATCCACTCATGCTGTCGCCTGTCCGTTTATGTTGAAGAAGGGCGGGACTGAAGATGGCACCAAGGCCAACCCCCGAGTTCTTTAAGCGACGGGCAAAAGCACTCCATTGAGATGCTGGGCCAAAAGTGTATAAATCTGAAGGAGATTTGACTGGCTCGAGTTGATGAGCAATCTGTTTCGCCACTCGTGCTGGACACGAAGGCCGCTGTAGAATGTCGCGGAGTACCTGCGGCAATATGGCCCGTAATGAGCTGCCCTTCACCATTTTCCCGGTGCTAGATGACAAGATAGAGACACGAGACTGAATTGGCGAGTCGAGAAGCGGAGAGTCTCCTAAGATATCATCATAACTGGATCGGTTTAATATTAGTAAGATATCCCCTCTTACATCGTAGTCACCTTAGGAGATGAGCCGCGTATCCTTACTTAGGTTCACGAAGGTGTTCTGCATGATATGCAGCAAAGATCGGCAGGTCTTTCATTGGCGTATTGCAGAAGGTCTTTAGGCGTAGTTGACTTAGTGTTGATGGTGGGCCTGAGATGACAGACCACTCTTCCAGCTCAAAGCTCACATACGCTCTCTTGTGAGCCGAAACCTTCTAAAGGCGCACTTTGTTAGCTTTACGTGATCCTCACCAATGCTTGCCAGGGCGATGGGGATGAGATGATTTTGAAAGCTACTCCTGTTCTCTTACTTCATAGTCAGGGCAATGCGCCATGGCGGCGATGCAGTCATGTCTTGGTAGCTGAACCGCAACAGCCCAGACCGAACCGGGATGATCTTCCAACTCCCAAGAGCGTTGAGTAGCAAATTCCGTTACACGCTTCACGATTCTCAATGTCTCCAGGGTAAGATCGACGAGGTGTCCCGTATCTCTTGCCGCCGCAACACTGCATGCGAGGATGAGCCCGATGCATTCGCCCACTAGTATCTTGGGACGAGTGTCATGAAGTATACTTGGGTCTTGTTGACACTTCCTACATATCATTGGGGAAAACCCTCATACGTCAGTTCTTGACATTAGGATAGGCTTTGTTCTTTCAGAATATAAGTACAACTGACCAGATCATTGAGCCAAGCTGTGATATACAAGGCACAAGAGCAGATGACATCGGATCTGCCCGGTAGGCAACATCTGAAGCGACCATTTCTGCCCACTCGAGCACATTATGTTGCTCGCCCGTCAAATGATTCAGCCGCTGCGTCGAGAGCCTATGCAGATGTGTCGAGGGCGGTATGGCTCTCCTGCGCAGGCACCTCAGCGATTCGCTGTAAGTGTTGACACCCAGAGACTGATCCCCGAAGTAGAGGATCGCATTAGGTGTTGAGCACATGGCTTGATAAGTACACAGGCACAGCTGCAGGTGATTCGGTCAAGTTTGAAAATAGTCAATGTCGCAAAGCATGTTTGGGCATTGGTTAAGGAAGCTATAGCAAGTCGAAAAGTACACATATCATGGACAACTTCAGTCAGCTGTGTTTACCTCAGTCTGGCCGCCACTGCCACGCCAGGAGGGTGTGCTTAGATCTCGATCATTTCTCAAAGAGTACATGTTCCCCGTGATGAAGTGGCGGTGTTTTTGGTTGATTCCGTTCTGTTGTATCTCAGCTTCGGTCAGCTTGACTCCGTCGTTGGGCGTGCAACACGAAAGTTCGGATACCCTGGCTCGGTCTCGCATCCTTAATCATCCATGGAAGTTTAAGGAAAGTTAAACTAGGGTCAGACCCGTACAGTCGGACCCGCGCATTCGGTACGAAGTACTGCTCTTCGTCTGAAATGACTCGTCAGTCGCTACAACGGCTTCATTAACTTTAACAAGTTGTCCGACTAATCTTGTCTCTGTACAAACGACATGACTAGAGCTACTGACGATCCATGCTACTCAGCAGTGTCAGCATGTCCGACTTCAAGGACTAGGGATAGGGGGGAGAGAGCTAGCGAACACCTCGCGCAGCCTATAATACGATAACCCAGGTTTCTGAAATTTGTAGACGAAGCGTCGTGAGGCAGAACTCTATTAGAAAGTTGACCGTTCGACTCCGCCGACCGGCTGGGGTTGATCTGCCCCAAATGTCAGAATGAGAGCGATGGGATGCATATATGGCACCTGAATCCGATCATGTGGCTGACTTCGTCAGAATTCTCTCCATCTCTTTCACTTTTGAGGTTCCGTCAATCAAGACGGCCAATTAACAGATATGGTTTTCAACAATACCAAGACAGAATATTCGGAGGTGCACCAGAGCGAAGAGGGATCCGAAGGCGAAGGAAGCTCAAGAATGCTGCCCCAGCCTGACCGCTTCACGCACTCTGCTTATCGCATGCTGATGGTATCGACCTTCTTGTGCTGCATTGTTTCTGTTGCTATTGGCTTCTTCTTGGGTACCTACGGCTTCAGTTTGGGTTCAAGGCAGACCTCATGTGCCACTGAGCCGAAGAAAGTCGATTCTGTTACCGGGCTTGGCATGGCCACTATTGATGAGGCACCTTTCATCACCGACGGTATGTGATAAGTATACTGCTGCCATAGCAAGAAGCTGACCAAAGTGACGCAGTGCCACTTGTCCGAAAGAAGTTTGAGCACGACTCTTCGTACAACTTCACAGCCCCGGGAGCGAACCAGAGATGGCTCGATCTGATCTCATGTAAGTCCCATTCGATGCCGCCCACTCAACATTCAACTCTGGAGCGCTGCATAATTCATGCTCCTTGTCATGCTGCGGATCAAAACTTACCCTATCAAATGAAGTTGGCAAGCCTTTCGTTGCGCTGAATGACCCGTCCAAATATGGCCTCCCGGACTACTTCCACAAAGACGCTCTCCAACCCGAAGGTCTACAACCTGTGGCCTGGAATGTTTTCCATCAGCTACATTGCTTGGTATGATTACACTCTAGAAGATGGCCCTTGATATAACGTGCTGTCGTAGCTTATATGCTTGTGAACAGGTTTGCTTCCGCACCACTTACATGAAGCTGGCTTTGGACTTGGACGGCGGCTACGATGTCTGCACTCGCCAACATATTGAGCATTGCCTCGAAAGTCTTCGTCAGGTAAGATAATTGCTGAATGCTCGAGAAAAGCCTCAACGGCCCACAAGATGACCACATGCTGACGAGCTACACCCAGGCCACCATGTGTGCTGGAAATATGAACATGGAACGATTTGAATTCATTCACTACCCAGGTCATGATGACTTTGTACCAAAGTTGGTCGGTCAGCACGAAATGCATACGTGCCGTGACTGGGACGCCATCAAGGGTGTCATCAAGAAGGTCAGGTCTGAGAACATTCCTGTCGACAAGTATGGCAAACGTGTGCCACAACCGTAACCTCGCCATAGCTACAAGATTGGCCTATTGAATCCATCAAAAATTGGCATTCCAAGAACAATTACTGTGACATCACAGCATTGGTGTCAAAGATTGATTTCAGGAGAAGCCCTCTACAACTGAGGATGGGGCGACGAGAAGGGCGTGAGAGCTAATCAAGATACCTGATGATCAGCGAGATCTAGATGAAACTGCTATTGCACTATTGTAACATGACCATTCACAGTAACTGCGTAATTGCAAAGTTTGGCAACCACGAAGATGGAAAGTTCCGCGTAACCTTGACTTTAACGGATATATAATTCAAGGCCGTTCACTCTGGGCTTTGGATAATCTTTTCTCCAATTCTTCCTTGAATATTGACTGCCCGTTACGCGACTCAGTCTGAGTATGAGTATATTACGATCCGGAATGTTCTATGTTAATTCATGAAAACCACTCCTGACACGACTAGTGGACATGATTCAGAACACAAGAGTCTTATTAGAACCTGACCCACGAACAAGGAATGAACATCGACTTCGACAGATCAGTCGATGCTTCAGCTTTCCTGCACACGTATACTCGCCTGTCAGTGGAGCTTTCAAATAAGGTTCTTGTCAATTAGATGCCGCCGGGCCGACCGGTGGGATATCAATGGACTAACAAAGTATTTTATATTAATGTCAACCCCAGTCACAACCATCGTATACATACGTAGTAGTTTGCTTGATTGATGCCGCCCCGGCTCAGGCCTACACTGACCTCGCAGTGAATGCTAGACCCGAGCCCGACGCTATCGATACTTTGGTCTCTCCAGATTGAGTAATTGTCGCCAGACCAAAGTTTCAGATCCTTGGGGCTCCTGGCTGGGGAGAAACCATGAGCAAATCTCGTCGCGTTGCTGTTGAACATTATCTGTGGATCTCCTTTACTCTTATGCTCCAGATCAATGAGTGAGTAGCTGGGCCGTATCGAGCTCGAAGTTTCCGGTAGGATGCATGTGCCTCGATTCACAATGTGGTCCAGTCTCTGCTGGGTGATTAGCCTGATGCTATTCTCTTGGGCGCCGCCTCCGCCTCCTAGTACCAAGAAGTTAGATGGAGAAGATGTCAGTGAATTTGACGATGCCGATGAGGGCCCTGTCGAAGTCGCTTTCGAGGGCGTGCTGTCGGACTGGAAGAAAGCAGAGCCCCTTGCCCGCGGGCTCTCTCGATGTTTCTACGACACCCCAACGCATCCCCAAGCTCAAGGTCGTCGGCTCGCCATCAGCCTTCTAAAATGTCTCCGCGGTGGACTTCTACTAGGAGGCTTTATCGAGCTGGCTGCTATGCTGACAGCCGCCCTCCCGCCCATTATCTTGCGTTGGCTTCTCGTAGCCTTACCAGAACCTACCAAAAACGCCAAAGTCTCAACAGCGGATGGGACTTTACAAGGTCGGCGGGAGAGCCACGACGCCGGGATGGCACATAGCTACGCTCTTGTCGCAGCCATGACACTCACACAGATGGCTGCTGGCATCCTCATCAACGCCTCGCGATACAGACTCGAAGGTGTTGGAGCCCAGGCAAAGGCTGCCCTCACGTACATCATCATGGACAAGGCCTTCCTGGCACCGCCCTCTTCGGCGGCAATTGTCTCATCTCAAACAGGCCAAGAATCAAAGAGAAGGGCAAAACAACAAATCTGGAACTCCGGCGCCGTCTTCAATCTCGCATCCGTGGAAACATCGCGCATAGAGGATTGCATCAGCGGTATCAACGCTATCTGGACTGTACCGGCTAGCTTTGTTCTCGCGATCCCCATGTTGGCCGCGAATATAGACACTTCATCGCTAGGTGGCATGGTGGTCTTGCTCCTAGGCCTCCCCATCTTCACCAACGTCGCTCTCCGCATCTGGGGCGAGCAAAAGGGTCTCAGCGGACTCTGCAGACGACGAGCAGCCTGCACGCAGCAAGTCATCCAAGGCATCCGCGGGATCAAACTCGCGGGGTGGGCTTCCCAGACCATGATCCTAAACAAGTTGTGCGGGATGAGGGTGGTGGAGATGGTCACGGCAAGCCGATTATGGCACAACCGCGCGGTGCTCGAAGCGGCGTGCGCCCTATTGCCGACATTGGCCTCAATGGCGAGTCTCATCCTCTATCACACGCTCCACGAGGGCGTACCCGATCCAGCAAAGGCTTTCTCATCCTTTGCTCTGTTCTTAGCGCTCAAACCACATGTGAACCGCGCAGCACAGGCTGCAGTGCAGTTGCAGGATTTACTGGTGGGATGCCGCGCAATTGAGCAGTGGTTAGAGACGGAAGAGCCTGGAGAAACGATGGCGAATTCCGTAGACTGGGCAGTTGACGTAGCTCAGGACACAGTGGTTTGCTGGCCAGCTACAACTGAAGATGGCGATTTCGTACTGTCTTTTGACACCAATATTCAGGTCACGAAAGGTGAGCTGATAGCTGTCTGTGGTGCGCCTGGATCTGGTAAATCATCTCTCCTATGTGCAGTCGCAGGTCAAATGTGCCTTGATTCTGGCGGCTTAGAACTGGGCATCGGGTCAAAGGTGGCCATGGCTGGTCAGATACCATGGCTAAGGAAAGGAACGATCCGCAGCAATATCCTCTTCGACCAAAAGTTCGACGAGGTCAGATATTGGAAAGTGGTCAGCGCTTCGGCTCTCCTGGGCGATATCGACAGAATGCCTCGCAGGGATCTCACTATTATTGGCTCCGGAGGCCAAGGTCTCTCAAGCGGCCAAGCTCAACGTGTCAGTCTGGCCCGAGCCATGTATTCGGATGCTGACATTGTCCTCATTGACGATTGTCTCCGTAATCTTGACCCTGCAACAGGAAAGGCAGCGTTTGAAGGTGGAATTTGCAGCTTGTTGGAGAACAAAACGCGCCTGATCGCAACAAACCAGGCTTGGGTGGCCCGCCGATGTGACCGGGTGCTGTGGCTCGACAATGGACGTGCCAGCGAGCTGAGGTCTCTGGATAGACTTGAACAACACTTACCATCCATCGGAACGGACGAGTCTCCTCAGACCAAGACGATGCAACCGCTACCAGAACAGCCCTCATCGCATGCGGATGCAGTACAAGTAGCAGGCCCGACTACTACACGTGCCTCTGTTGTAACAGCACCACAAGCAAATGCTAGAGTACAAAAGTCCTTCGACTGGTACCTGGAACTCGTGGGTGGCCCAAGAGCAACGTCCACAGCAGCAGGCATTGTCTTTTGCTGGCAAGTAACCGCCGCCGTCCTCGTGCTTTGGCTTTCACTGTGGACTTCTGATCGGTTAGGGCTGTCGGGTCTCGCGTCAGTAGCAATCTTCGCTATGCTAGGATTTGGAGAGGCGATACTGGCGTATGTGCTGTGCCTGAACATCACGGGAAAGATGTTGCAAGCGAGCCATAGCCTGTGGGAGCGATCAGTGAGACGTGTGGTCGGGGCACCCATGAGGTTCTTCCAAAGCCACTCCTTGGGAAGCATCATGGATCGCCTCTCCAAAGATGTAGATACGACCGATAGAGAGCTGATCGAGGCAACGCGCAATGCCACCCTCCATCTGGCGCGCCTATTGGGTGGAGTTGCCCTGATGTTGGCAATGCAGATCAATGTATGTACCTTTCACATGCTCACGAAAGATTTGTGCTCACAATAGTTCCTCCAGCTTGTCCTTGTTGTAGTACCAGGCCTAGCCGCCGTCGTCATTATGATGCGCCGTTACGCTCCTCGTTTGAAGACAGCTCGATCTCGCGAAGCTGAGTTACGGTCCCGTGTGAACGCTGCATTCAGCGAGAGCGTGGACGGCGCTAGCTGCATCTCTGTTTACAAGACCGAAATATCGGCTCGGTCCCTTCTAGTCAAACGGCTAAACGCTTGGAGTAATATCCGCTTGCTAGCCGCCGCAAACCTACGCTGGCTTGAAGTGAGACTTGATGCTATCGTGGCCAGTACTATTGGGCTCACGGGTCTATTTGTAGTGACTGCCTCAGGTTCATTATCTCCTTCTATCATTGGCCTGATAATGAGTCAAGCGTTGGTGCTACCGGCATCCCTGAGACAAGGCATGAGATTCTCTACGAGCGCCCTTCAGTCAATGGTCGCAGTTGACCGCCTGGCAGCTTATGCAACCAGTCTACCTCGTGAGGGCGAGACGGAGCGTGCCTTGGGTTACCGCTTTTCTCTCGAGCAATCGTGGCCGAACTCCGGGGAGATAGTTGTTCGGAACATGAGTGTCTCTCACCGTCAAGAAAATCTCCAGGAGACATCCTCTGCTCTGCAGCAAATATCTTTCACCATCCCAGGCGATACGCATGTTGCGGTTGTAGGACCTACGGGTGGAGGTAAATCGACTCTTGTCGCCCTACTACTCCGCTTACTCGATCCCACAATGGGCACCGTCACCCTGGATGGCATACCAATGGTGGACATTCCGTTACATGTCTTGAGGTCCCATCTCGTTGCAGTCCCTCACGATGCCGCCTCATTTCCCAGTAGCACTGTCCGAGAGGCTGTCGATCCAGAAACCAGCCATTCTCGTGACGAAATCAGTCGTCTACTGTCGGATTTGGACAGGGTGGCCGGGCTGCACAGTCAGGTTCCTCTCGTACTCGACAAGCTTGTTGACGAGCAGGTCGCTCAAGGAACAGGGAGGGCACAACTGATTGCCTTAGCGTCCATGATACTTCAGAAACCACGGGTATGTGTGCTGGACGAGACTCTGGGAGGATTTAGCGTCCAAGCGGATGTTGAAATTACGAAGATGGTAAAAGAGACACTGAAGGGTAGTACAATGATAGCGGTCACGCATCGCATGGAGTCTGCTATGCTTTTTGATCGAGTGCTCGTCCTTGACCAGGGCAGGATAGAGGCCTATGGAGACATCATGGCTGTGTGGAATAACAGTGTGTTTTTTAGGAAGGCGTGCGATAGAGACGGAGTCACACTCGAAAAGATTAGGAGATTTAGAATAGAGAATTAAGTGACAATAGTTGTGGCCAGTAGAAGATGTCAGTCTT